ACAAATGGATGATTCCATCAATAAAACTAATACACCTTAAACATTATGCAACAACGGCAACAACACAATCTTTTCAAACCAACTCTGATAAGAGATCAATTACCAATGACCAGATAAATGAGAAATTTGGAAAAGTTCATTACCTTTATCATGTGACCTTGTTTCTGCAGGTTCAACTTGCAAAAAATCTGAAGGAAATCAATAATCAGCTCTCCATCTTAAACCACGATTAGTTTGCTTAATTCCTTCATATGAAAAAGAAAAATTAATTAAGATCTTGTTAAAAAATTATTTAAGAGCTCATATCTCACAATTACTTTATACTAGCGTTACACTCAAACCTGTAGGAGAATATCTATAAATACCTTGTCGGCCCTGCCCTCATTCCAAATCTAGCCAAATGTATGAGATAAACAAAATATTAAACATTATCAGCCATTTTCTTATAATTTTTTCTACAAATGGATGGTTCTATCAATCAGAATTAACACGCTTTTAACATCCTACAATAATAGTAATAACACAATCTTTTTCAAACCAATGCCAAGCAAGGCAATAGCCTTTTTTTGAACACAATGTGTTCTATCAAGATACCAAACAAAGCAACAACAGCAAGTGTTCTATCAAGATGCAGCAACAACAATATTTTTCAAACCTAATACTCCTAGCAGCAATACCAAATAGATGATTCAAAATACCATCAGGACAATTGTTTTGATACCTAATACACATTATAATCAATCGTAATATGTCTTACAATCCATAATGGCATGATAAAATCCGAAGTTGTCCAAGATAATAATAATAATAATAGTTCTAAATTCTAAAATAAAATCCTAAGTTTTTGATGATAAAATCCTAATTTCAGCAAATTATTTGAATTAAATAGAGCCACAAAATAAAGCCTTAACATAAATCTTCTTCATATAATTGGGAATTAAAAAGAGTTAATTACTTTTTGCATTATCACTACAGATAATGAAGCCAACTCTAACAAGGTCTTCATCAGTCAAATCTTCAATTCCCAATCCAATATTACATCATACACTTTCATTTTCCTAGTAGCATCATTAGCCATGGATTGAAAACAGCTGCCCAACTTACCAATCTCTTCCTTCGAACTTTCACAAATCTCACCAAGCTTCTACATGTTGGTAAAAATGCATCATTGTCAGCGGACTAATCCCTTACATTTCTTGGTCTTGGATCTTTTTGGGGCTACATCAAACTAACTTGGCATTGCATGCTTTCTAGTTTCAGTGAATGATTCAGTATTAGTTGTTTGAGTGCAGAACATGGACTCTTGGACGTTGTCCATATTAAGTTCATCATTATCAAAGTTGAGAGCATTGAATGCAGTTTCAACAGCTTTTGCTATTGTAATTATCGAATCCTCTATTTTTATATTCTCGACAGCATCAGAAGGTGATCTTGCTCCTTTTTCAGTAGCCCTATCCTTCACAAATATAATGGCTAATTTTTCAATATGAAATAATGGCTTGTTTCTAAGTCTTGCAGTAGCTTGATTAGTTTGCATTTGAAATGCATATATAACATAAAAACATAAAAGACATACCTTTAAACATCAATTAATAATTACATGAATTAATTTCAATAATAACTAGGATTACCTTAACCCATCCACTCCAAACATCAGTGTCACATGTCACACATTTGTTGATGTCATCCCACCCAAAACTAGAGATTGCATGACTTAACATCTCAGCCATTTCTCGGTATTGGGACTTCAATAACCTCATTTTAGAGTTGATATGTGGAATGCCCTTGGCAACCTGAGATCCGTTCAGCCATCCATTTTTCTAGCTACTGCAAATAACCTGCCTTGAAGGTGCCATTGTCTTTACTTCAACCTCCTTGGTTGACGAGCTCCATGTAGCAGTTAATTAAAATAGCATCTTCAGTAGGGGTTCACTGATGAGTGGATCTTTTGCTTCCCTTTCCTACTCTTTGAAATTATTCACCCTCCGTCTAGATGTTAACATAATATACTAATAGAAGAAAATATAATAATATAACAACGTATAAGAAAACTAATACATCATTAGAATTTGTTTTTAGAAATATCTTTCCATTTTGTAAACTAATAACATAAAAAGACTAAGTTAATTTTGTTATGTAAAAGTGACATGTAACACAACAATAAAGAGTTTGGATATCATATAATAAACTATTTTCCATAACAACATACATAACTTCCTAAAATAACAAAGGTTCCAACCTCATCAAATAACAACATACATAAGTTCGCCGATAGCTAAACTATTTTTCGCACCTAAACAAATTATGGTCAAAATAATACCAAAACAAAATGCAATTATTAAGTAAAAAAAAAAAGTGAGATATCAATGCCGAATAATATCTCAACTTTGATCAATTAACTACCTTTCTAAGTGGCTAACATCTTCAACAGTCGCTATTTCTTTACTATGATAATCATTCATTCCCCAAAATTGCATAAATGCTTGTTCAACTAGGGTTTTACCAATAAATGATTCATAGATAGCTTTTCTAAAACCATGAATTTGTCTTTGAGCTTCTGGCCAAGTGTTTTAGATGCTTGATCTATCCAACATACATTAAAATATGTCTTTGCTATATCTAATAAAGCAATAATAAGAACTTTAAAATGAGAATTGATATATGTTCTTAGAACTTGTTTCAAGTATGCCTAACTAGTCATTTGTATTCCAAATGTTTGTTTTCCTTTTTCTTTTATCATTTAAAGGCGTTCTAAATTAAGCCTTTTTTTTTATTTTACTTTGTTTAAATATTAACATGGCATTTTCCAGAAAGTAGGGAGGTTTTCAAATTTGAGTATTTGAAAATTCCACATAGTTGGTTACGCACGTATTTTTGTGTTTTAAGTTATTGTTAATAGTTTACATTCAGTTTGTCATAACTTAAGGTTGCAATTATTATATGATGATCCAAAGTTTTCCTTGTAATAACACCCAGTTTTTTTTTCTTTATTTAAATTTTTTATTACTAGTTTTTAGTTAGTTACAATATTAGTTATTGTACTAATAATTTTTAAAGTTTGCAAAAATTAATGTTGGCTGAAATGGGAATGATATCCGAAATATTTAGGGATTTCATACATGATTTTGAGAAAATCATACACAATTTCATGATTTACATGCATTTTTAAGGATAAGACTGGTTGAAACAAGAATGTATAACAAATATTTTAGGGATTTTTCATACACAATTTGAAGAAAATCATGCATGATTTCATGATTTTTCTACATTTTAAGGATAAGGTTAGTCGAAATAAGGATGGTA